TAGATTCGAACCTTTAGAAAGGACAGATTTTAGAAGACGAATTTCCCACACCTGCTACGTGCTTCCTCATCTGGGAAACGATCCTTCTATTCATGTGTTTATCGGAGGTCATGCCATTTCCCTTACTACCTGGTATAAAATAACTGATCACTCCCTCAAAGCTTTTCAAACCACGATTGAGTTTCCCATTCATTTTGGTCCCCAAGCGGTACTACTTGTTAGTGGTCTGTAGACTCACTCCCAATTACCCCCTTGGGGGGTAAAAAACAAAAAACAATTCCCCCTAGGTTGGCCCCAGTTAAGTCAGAATTAAAGTAGAGGGAGTGGCAGCCTCCTGGAGACTAAAAGAACTTGAGAGACTAAATCTACCTTTCCATGGATGGGAAATTTATTTAGATGATGTTCGGGAATTCATGGGTACCACCACAGGATAAGAATGACAAGGCAGACATCTCACTCTTCCTTGTACCTGTCTCTACTGCCTCACTGTCACTACATTTCTGCTGAATGGAGCCCTAGGCACTAGTCACACAGGTGGCTGCTTGGTATCATCAGAACAGATCACAACTTCCCCATTCAAAAGCGGTAGCCACATCTCTGGCTACAATGGTGATTCTCCAGTTACTTCAATACTTTAAAAGGCTGCAGCAGCATGCAAAACAATTTCATTTCATTAAAAAAAAGTTAAGAAAGGTCTTCAGGAGATGGTGAGTTTTATTTTTTCTTGTCTGGATAGAGGTTTGATTTGCTCTTGAATGTTCCGGGGTGGAGACTAGAAGAAAGCACAGCACGTGGAGGTCTACTCAGTGTGGTCGTCTCCCTCATTCTCATCTTCACCATCCACGGAGAGAGCAGCATACTTGCTTGCAGAACTGAACTTCTGTAACAGAGAAGAGGGACAAGGTAACGGAGCCTGCTGAGATTCTCCTACCAAATATCTAGACGCAGAAGGTTAATGTTTTGGCATAGCTGAGTTCAGAGCACAGGAATTCTCTAAGGGTAGCATGTTCCTCTCAGCTGTCATGGAGGGCCAGGGTCACAGGAGAGCTCACCAGCCATATACATCCTCTATTTTCCAAGAGGATGAGGGCTCAGAAAGGTTGGCTCATCAGCAAAAAGCCCATCTTCATTTTTTTTCTCCACTAATTTGAACAAACACCACTGCCTCATTTCCAACTTCTCCAGTCTCAAGAAAACAGGAGGAGTGTGATGCAAACCTGAGCTAGGAAGTGGATGACATGACACTTACAGAGGCTGGATTCTCCTCGGATTTCTTTGGCTCAGGTGCAGATCTCGAGTCTTGATCTTTTTTGCCATCTTTCCTGCAGAGACAAAGCACAGACCACCTATTCAACAGCGTTACTAGGACAGCACAGAAACTTCAGATACCTCAAATTAACTGTGACTTGAGTCTGTTCAGTGGTAGACCTGGTAACACTTTGCAGAAGCCCCTGCATCTAACATCAAAGGATCCCTACGTGGGTGAGAGGAGACAACACATACCTGTCCAACTCCTTCCAGGGGTCTCTGCTCCCTCCTTCTCCAGGACCACGACTGGAGGTCCCAGTTTGGCCTTTTGGGACACTCATCCCATCTACTTTATTTTCATCTGTTTAAGCAGAAATACAAAATCAAATTCAAGTTATATAAAGTAACCTATCTCTCTGCCCTAACTTTCCTTTAAGCCAAAGAAAACATGTGCTATGGGAAAGTAACCCCACTCCAAACCAGCCTCCAAAGGCCTTCTCCCCAAGTTCCTGTATAACACACATGCACACAAACAAGACCTATTCAAAAGTCCCACTGTAGTGAATGCCAGCCGGAAAAGCAATACAGAAATAAGGACTAGAAGCCAGGTGGTGGTGGTGGTGCATGCATTTAATCCCAGTACTGGTGAGACAGAGGCAGGTAGATCTGAGTCCCAGGTCAGCCTGGTCTATGGAGTGAGTTCCAGGACAGCCAGAGCTACACAGAAAAACTAAAAAAAATATCACAGCATTTAAAAAAATAAATAATTTTTTTCTTTCCTGTGGTGGCTCACACCTTTAGTCCCAGCACTCAAGAGGCAGAAGCAGGCAGATCTCTGTGAGACCAGCTCATCTATAGAGCGAGTTCTAGGGCTACACAGAGAAACCCTGTCTTGAAAAACAAAAATTTATTTGGGCAAGGTGCTTAGTTCTGGAATTTTTCTTTAAAGTTATTTTATTTCATGAGTGTTGCCGACATGTATGTGCACCACCTATGCCTGATGCGTGTGGAGGACCAAAGAGGGCACCAAATGCCCGGGAAGACACTGGAGATGTGAACGGTTGTGACCCACCACAGGGGCTCTGGGGACTTGTAAACTCCTGGACGGGTTTGTGTTCGAGGCTCACCTTTCCTTGATGGTCCGTCCTCAGAGGGCTGAGTGGGGGCCACCTTCCCTCCACTAGAGAAGCAAGCAATCAGCGTCAGTTTATACAGAAAGACAGCACAGGCTCATCCCTTACAGAAGCCCACAAGGGCCTGCATTCTCAACACCAACAGTAAGCTCAGGAGAGACAACAGACGCAGTCATCTCCACTCTCAAGGGCCACACGCTTCGGAATTTACAACCCAGCAAGGCTGGCAGTAGTCTTCTCTTCGTAAATATTGAGAAAATTTAAGAGAACCTTAAGTCCCGTAAGTGACATGACCTTTCAAGGTTACACTAAGTCTCAGGGCGAAGCCCAATATACATGTCCACAGATTTGTGGTATAAATACTCCCACCATAGCTGATTTCAACCCATCAAAATGATGCCAACCGGCTAACAAAAATCAAGAAAACAGACACTGTTATGAGACACCTGGGTATGAATTATACAGGAGGCAACCTCATCTGTGACACCACAAAGGCCAGCCCCCCTCAGGGCACCTTCCAGCTAAGCAGCTGCTGCTGCAGGCCTACTCACCTTGTAGGGGACTGCTGCTCTGTGTCTGAGCTCTGAGATCGAGCAGGAGGGTTAGAGCTCCGCTTCACCCACGCATTCTCCTTTGGTGGAGGGGCTGGCATTACCTTCACAGGCTGATCAGGTTTAGGAGGTTTGGAGGTTGGAGAGTGACAGTCTTCTTCTTTATTGAGGGTTTCATTTTCTAGAGACTTCTCACTCTCTCTCCTGCGTGTATCTGGGGAGAGGGGAGACTTGCTGTCTACACACTGTATAGTGTTCACGTGGACTGACTGGTCAGCACGGAAGGGGACGCATTTCCACATCAGTCCTTCCATCAGCATAGACCGCTCTGACTAACAGTTACAATTACACAAAAACCAACGGTTTCAATGTCACCCTGAGAAAAATGCTTTATGGACACAGAAAAGGGGAATCTGTGTAAAGGAGACAACTGCCTTTGCAGGACAAAAACCAGACACTCTCGGGCTTGCATCAAGTTTTCTGCAACTGTGGAGCCTGACTTGCCAGGTGCCTCCTACATCTGAAGTACAAGGCCATCAAAGGGGCCACAGAAACCAACACCACACTTAACCTGCCACAAGGACCACATTATGTTACTGGGCTACTCCAAGTGTGAAACATTTCCAGAAAACTCTTACACCACTTGGCTCAATTTACAAATCACTTTGGCCTTGAGCTCTTTTAAAATATACAAATATAAAATAGAACAAGTAAACTTGGAGCTAGGAGAGCTTAGGCAACACTGGGTCACAGTATGGGAAGGGGCGGGAAGCTGTACTAAAACACTAGCTATGCTTGTGAGTGGCTCTGAAAGACAACATCCACTAGTGAGGCAGAGAACAGGGGCTGGCAAGATGGCTCAGGAGGTGTGGGCACTTCTTACCAAGACCTGCTAATAAATGAATTTAATCAGTGCCAAGAACACTCATGGTGGAGAAACAGACTTCTGCAAAATTTCCTCTGACCTCAAGGCATGACATGAATCCCCATTCTTCCACAAAATAAACGTTAAAAAAACAGGCCAAATCTATCAGTCAAGTATTGTCTTTAGCGACAGGTGGTCAACAGATCATTTAAGTCGATTCTGGTGCCTGTTCCTCAGGCTTTTGAAGGTACGATGTGAAAACCCACCAGCCCTTGCTTACCACCGCTGGTTTAAGGCCAGTCTAGTCTACGAAGGTTCAGGATACTTAAGGATACCTATGTAGAGGCCTTGTCTGAAGAAAACACTGCAAGTCCCTGCATACCCGGTTATGGAAACAGCAACACTGACACCCACCCTGGTCTGACTTACTTCTGCCAGATGCGGCTGAGGCTCCAGTCTGTGATGACTCACTTCCTGTCCTCGACCGTTCTCTTTCCTGAGTTTCTTCACTTCGCCAACTTGGGTGTCTGCACAATGGAGATTAAAAAAGGACAGAGAAAAATGGTGTTTAGTCCACTTAAGGCCACCATGAACCTGACACAAACTGTTTATAGAAAATGACAGGTATAAGCTGGGTAGTGTTGGCACACACCTTTAATCCCAGCACTCAGGAGCCAGAGGCAGGCGGATCTCTCTGAGTTTGAGGCCAGCCTGGTCTACAAAACAAGTTCCAGGACAGCCAGGGCTACACAGACTCTGTCTCAAACAAACACACACACACACACACACACACACACACACACACACACACACACACACACACACACACTTTAGTTCTTACTATCTCTGAAACAAACAAGAAACAAACAAGTAACACACAAGCACACAAAAAGAAAAGCAAAGTAATTCTAGGCTCCTTCCCTCCTTCCCCCAACAGGAGAACAATGAAGGTAGGTTCTCCACCCCCGGGCAGCAGAGGCAGGAAGGAGCACAAAGCTTGTCTCACTCAGTGGTTTCTGGACTGGCTTGTGAGACTCTTTCAAAAACCAAAAAGTACGTATAATCTTTTTGCTGCTGCTGTGTTTTGTAGACAAGGAAACCCATGGCAATCTCCTTCTTCAGCTTGAGTGCTGAAATTATTACAGGCATGAGTTACCATGATCAGCACTTTCTGGTTTCTACTTATCATGTTATCTACTTACCACCATCTACTTGACACCCTTCCTAAAAGACAGAAAAAATTCCTTTTTCTGTGTATTTTTTTTTTTTTAAAAGGAGTTACACAGACCAGGCTGCCAGTCTCCCAAAGGAGCACACCACCACACCCAGCTTGTAATCTTATTTGTAAGGGATTATGTAGATGACTTGCTGGGTAAGAGCACTTCCAGCCAAGTCTGATTTTTGTGCCCCAGGATCTACACAACTGCCCTCTGATCTTTAAGTGGGCACCCACACAAATATAATAAAAACAGGTATGATGATTTACTTTTGTGCCCAGTGCCGCCAGCGTCTGTCTATGGCAAGTGTAGCACAGGTCAAGTGTGTGCCCCTGTCTCACTCTGCACCCCGCCCAATACACACTGCTCAGTGACCACAGCCATCACCCCCACTACCCAAACGCCCCCCTGCTCAGTGACCACAGCCATCACCCCCACTACCCAAACGCCCCCTGCTCAGTGACCACAGCCATCACCCCCTCTACCCAAACGCCCCCCTGCTCAGTGACCACAGCCATCACCCCCACTACCCAAACGTCCCCCGCCCAGCAGCAGGAAGGAAACCCCTAATCAGAGACAGCCTCACCTCTCCCGTGGCCGGCGGTCTAGTTTCGGCTCATCCAGCTGCCGCTGCAACTTCTCCTGCTCCTTCTGTAGCCGTTCCTCAACTTCCCGCTCTCTGGCAGCCGTGTCCACAGGTTTCGCCCCTCCAAAGATGGAAGCCGCTCGACTGGACTGGGAGGTGCTAGCAGAGGAATCATCTTCCTTAGGAGTACTCCGAGGCTTTAGGTTCAGTTTGGGTCTTTGAGGGGGACCTAAGTTAAATGAAACTCTAAGTAACAGTTTCCAAATAATCAGAAGGTGAATGCTGAAAGCCAGACTCCAGACACAGCTCTTACGATCTGGTCTGGAAGATGAGTGTCTTCAACAGGTGAGAAAGGTGTTGTAGCAATATAACAGGAAGATCCTAGGAGTGTGTACGTGTGCTTGCACACATTGTGTGTGTATGAGAGAGAACACGAATGTCAAGGCCAGAGAGCTCCAAGGATCTACCTGTACACACTCACCCACCCTATTATAGATGCAGGTGAACAGACCCAGTTTACCACCTTTTTAAAGGACACGTGCGGGAGATCTGAACTCAAGACTCTACCTGCACAGCAGGCACTTTACACACAGATACGCTATTTTCCCAGCCAAGGAGACTATCTAGTTCTTACATTTTTGTATGAAATTCTGAGTAGTCTGATATCTTATCTTTCCACGTTGTCACAGTACTTTCAAAATAAACCTAAAATTGGTTATAACCTTAGTTCAGAAAACTGTTATGAAAGGTATAGTGACTAGAAAGAAAGCCAGGGAGTGCGACTACCGGGTTTAAGTAATAAATCAATACATGTTCACCTGCACTGTCTTCTCACAATAAACGCTAAATTCTTTTTAAAGATTTATTTATTTATTATGTATACAGCAGAGAGTGCCAGATCTCATTACAGATGGTTGTGAGCCACCATGTGGGTGCTGGGAATTGAACTCAGGACCTCTGGAAGAACAGTCAGTGCTCTTAACCTCTGAGCCATCTCTCCAGCACCAATAAATGCTAAATTTTGTCTTTATACCTTTATTACATGTGTCCATGTACTGAAATAATGTACTATTTAGCTTTTGTGTGTGCGGTTTGTGTGGAAGCCAGAAGTCGACTTTCGGACACTCATTTCTTAAGCACTGTCACCGTTTCTGAAGGGGGTCTCTGACTGACCCAGAGCTCATTAAGGTAGGATGGCCGTCCAGTGAGCTCTAGGAATCTGCCTGGCTTTTCTTCTTATGTGCAGTGTTTTACCTGCATGTGTGTGTAGCACATGTGGACAGCCTGGTGACTTCTTAGGTCCCAGAGGCAACAGATCCCCTGGAACTGGAGTTTTGGTAGTTGTGAGTCACCATGTGGGTGCTGAGCACTGAACCTGGATCCTCTACAAGAGTGCTCTTAACTGCTCAGCCAGCTCTTCCAGCCCCTTGCCCAGTTTTTTATGTGGTGTTGGGACAGAACTCAGTTCCTCTTGCTTGCATAATAAGTTCTTTCTAAAGATACGGCAGGTTGCTGAGGAAGCTCAGCAATTCAAGATGCTCACTACTAAGCCTGACAACCCGACTTTGATTTTCTGGACACTCATGGTAGAGACTGGACTCCCAAATTGTCCTCAACCTCCACGCATGCGATCACACACAAAAGAGTGTGTGAGTGTGTATGTGTGTCTGATACAGATATAGAAAAGAGCCAGACACGGCTGGTCTGGAAAGCATACAGATCTACTGCCTGCCTCGGACTCCTGAGTGCTGGGATTAAATGCATGCACTACCAGTAACAACAGCTTTTAAAAGATATCATGCTAAGACTTTGTTCATAACAGTTAAGGGACCATGAAGCCTGAGCATGCATCCAAGAGGACAGATGTGGAAGACAGGGAGATACCAGGACAGGGAAGGAACCATGTAAAAGAGAACATCAGGAGTCAAGGACAACCCAGACAGGACTTTCATTTTCTTCATTTGAAAGATAGAATGCTTACTTTTCTACTGCTCATAAAAATCTTTTTTTTTAGACAGGGTTTTTCTGCACATCTCTGGCCATCCTGAACTCTCTCTGCAGACCAGGGTGTCTTCGAACTCACGGAGATCCCAGTGCTGGGATTAAAGGTGTGCACAAACCACCACACGGCTGTTCTTTAAATTCTAACTGAAGCATCTACTCTATGCGAAGGCTTTTCAGGAGCAGATTCTGTTCATTTCCACCATGTCACCCACATCCGACTGTCCACTGTGCCCCCTACCTCCTTTACACTCTGCATCTGTGTCAAAGCTGAAGTGGGTAAGGCATTTACAACCACGACTTTCCAACTTTCTGCCCCACAATGACAGGATGAGAAAATGAGTACCTCTGTCATCACGCCTATAGTCGTCCCGAGAGTAGTCATCCCTGGAGCTCCATGATCGATCGTCCCTTCTGTCATACCGGTCTTCATAGCGGTCCCCACCTCCTCTGTAGTCATCATCCCTACGGTACCCACTACCAAATGCTCTCCTGCCACTGCCTATCCTGGAGTCATAGCCTGTAAACAGATCTCAAATTGTGGTCACAAAGAAAGGGAAAAAAGCAAAAAGCCAAATTCTTGAAGAGCTTCCATGGATAATGTTACTGTGACTACCTCGGTCATAGTCTCTGCTGCCTCGGTCATCATATCGATCCCGGCCCCCATAGCGGTCCATATCTCGGCGTGGGCCGTCCCGGTACCCATCCCGGTACCCGTCCCGGTACCGGTCTGAATCGTAACGATCTCGATACTCTAGAAAGAAAAGAATATACGTAACATCACTCCCCTCCCACAGTTGATAGAATGTGGGAGCTCACTCGACCAGTTTGGCTTAATGAGTTCTATTCACTATGATTCAGCTTTTATAGTTCAATTACACCTCCAAATAAGAACCATTTGTACTGAATTAAAAATTTCTTGGGCTGGAGAGAGGTTAAGAGCACCGACTGCTCTTCCAGAGGTCCTGAGTTCAATTCCCAGCACCCACATGGTGGCTCACAACCACCTATAATGAGATCTGGTGCCCTCTTCTGTATAAATAATAAATAAATAAATCTTAAAAAAAATATTCTTAGTTAATTATTTAATAAAAACCAAAACAAACAAACAAAAACCCTGATGGGCATTAAGAATGGAGCTCATGGCAGAATGCTTGCCCCAGGAACAACACTTGAGAGGTCTAAGCAGGAGGACCGAGTTCAAGGTTATCCTCCTGTCAAAACCAAACAAAAACACACCCACAAAATGACAGCTCTAGGATGTTCCCCTGGTGAAATTTTGCTGGGTTAAAGTGTTTTTTTTTCTTGGGTGGGTGGGGTGATAAAAATATATATATTCTATAACAAAATATGATGTTTAAATACATGTAAGCATAAAACAAAATACAGCTGGGATTTTCTATGCTCGACACAAAACAACCAAAGATTGGTTCAAAAAGTTTAGTGTGAAGAACAGGGCAGCCAGATGGCTCAGCATATAAGGGCTCTTGCCTCTAAGCCTGACCACCTGAGTTCCATTCCGAGGACCCATCAAGAGGACGAATAACAGACTGGGGTGTGTGTGTGTGTGTGTGTGTGTGTGTGTGTGTGTGTGTGTGTGTGTGTGTGTGTGTGTGTGTGAAGAGATGGCTCAGCATTAAGAGCACAGGCTGCTCTTACAGAGGACCCAAGTTTGATTCCCAGTGTCCAAATGGCAGCTCACATTGGTCTGCATCTCTAGTACCGGGGACCCGAGACCCCCACACAGACATACATGCAGACAAACACCAATGTACATAAAATAAATCATACAAAAAAGAGAAAGGGGGTGGGAACTGGGCTGGAGAGATGGCTCCGAGATTAAGAGCCCTGGTTGTTCTTCCAGATCCTGAGTTCAATTCCCAGCACTGACATGGTGGCTCACAACCGTCTGTAATGAGATCTGGTGCCCTCTTCTGGCCTGCAGGGATACATGCAGGCAGAACACTGTGCATAATAAATAAATCTTAATAAGCTGTGGTGGCTGGAGAGAGTGGCCCTGCTGTAGGGGTGCTTGCGGCTCTTCCAGAGGACCTGAGTTAACTGTAGCTCAGGGTCCAATGTTTCACTGTCTCTGGAGACATGATACTTGGGTGCCAGCTTCACTGAAAAGGTGCAAACCCAACTAAAAATAAAATCATCTTTTTTTTTTTTGAGACAGGGTTTCAGTGTAGACCAGGCTATCTTCGTTCGAACTCAGAGATCCACCTGCTTCTGCCTTCCAGGTGCTGGGATTAAAGGCGTGACCACACCTGACAAAAACAAAACCTTAAGCTGTCCCAGTCTCAGCACACAGGAGGGAGATGTACACAGACTCAGGCCAGCCAGGACCAAAGTGAAACCACCTCAAACAAAACTTAACACAGCACAGCACAGTGCTGCTTAACTTAACACAGCACAGCACAGTGTGCTTAACTTAGCACAGCACAGTGCTGCTTTCAAATTTGTTTTTTCCCCTTAAATTTTATTCTTGCTATTACATACATGTTATAACATGAAGAAGTCTATTATCTTCAAATCTTTATGAAGTGTTGATCCTTTTTCATATATGTAAGAAAGGTGAATCACTATCCATATTGTCTCCCCCTGGATTTAGGTGGCAAATATGGGGCATTGTTTCCCTGCCCTCACACCACATTCCCAAATCTCTCTTCCACTGTCACCAACGTCTGGTGAAGACCAGATTCTTTGCACACTGCCTTCAGCACAAAGTGCAGCCGCTATATTGTTTGAGTGAACAAATTTCAGGTTCTCTGAAAGTCACCCTTGGGTTTGTCCCTCAGGCACCGTCCATCTTGGTTTTTAGAGACAGGGTCCCTCTCACTGACCCGCAGCACACCCATTAAGAGCCTGGACAGCGGATTCCAGCAATTTGCCTATTTTTACCTCCCCACACCTGGCTCTTTAACAGGGGTACTAGGAGTCCACCCTGGGCTCTCCCTGGTGTGGTATTTCTTCGTCACTTAACTGATCAAGCCACATCTCTCGCCCCAGCTCTGCTTCTTTATAAACAACCATGCTCTGCTAAGTCTTTTCAATAGGAGCTTAATAAATCCTTTTCTGCATTTGTCAACAAAACAAACAAAAACCAAACACCTCCCACATAACCAGAAACAAAAGAAACTCTAAGCCATACCCTAACTTCTAAGTGCTAATGGTCTATTACAAACAGACCCAAGAGTGGTGCAATCGGTCACGAAGCGGCACTTATACAAATAGACCCAAGAAAGAATTCGGAAACTGAACTTACTGTCTCCAAAGCTATCGTCACCTCTTCTAGGCGGGTAGTCATCAAAGCTGTCGGTGGCGGGACGGGCCCTCCAGTCTGTGTCTGTTTTGTCAGAATCCCGATTTCTATCTCGACCAAAAGAACGATCATCCCGGTCT